AGTTGATGTCCGGTGCATGCCTGGCGCTGCTGCTGCACGGCTACCATCTCTAGTCACGTGTGCTGCGGTGGTCGACTCGATCCGACACTAGTATTAGGGTCAACACCCACCAAATGATACATCATCGTATTTAAAGGCTATGCATATCTCTAAGAAACTTGCTATTTAGAGATTATGATCTTCACCTATAATACTCCTAAATTGAAAGTTTTGAATTATTTGAAATATTTAAGGTTTAGGTTTAAAGTTGCTAGCATATTTGGCCTATTGATGTTTAGATAAATTCCTTCCATAGGAGGTGTAGCATTGTGTCTTTAGGTTTTAGAAATATCATGTCATTAGTTGGATTTGCCATTATCTGATTATGCAATAAATCATATTTTTCAACATCAACAACAACAACAACAACAACATCAAGCCTTTAACCCATTATGTGGGGTTGGCTACATGAATCCTTTTTCTCCATTGTGTCCTATTAAGAGTCAAATTCTCATTTAAATCTAACAAAAATCGGTCATTTCTAATATTTTCTAACCAAGTCTTTTTAGGTCTACCTCAACCTCTCTTAACATAGGTCAAATCTAATACATCTACTCTCCTAATCAGGTCATCGAAATTTCGATGTTTTATATGATCAAACTATCTAAGGTGACTCTCTCGAATCTTATCAGGCACGTATATGCTCGTTTTGCATTCTGTCTCTAAGAGTAAAGCCACTCATCCACCTGAGCATCCTCATCCTTGCGATACTTAACTTAATTGTATGTTTCTCTTTTAATGGTCCATATTCTGCACTATAAAGCTCTATCAAATCTCTCAATAAATGTATAGCTTCCATTCTAGACTTACCCAACATGAATCCAAATTGATTTTGAGAAATATTAGTATCACGTCGTAACTTATGCTCGATAACTATTTCCCAAAGTTTTATATGGCACATTAGTTTAATTCCTCTATAATTCACACACTCCTGTGTATTACCTTTATTCTTAAAAATAAGAATCAAAACACTGCTCTGCTCCACTCATCTGACATCTTTTTAGTCTTCAAAATAATATTTAAAATTTTCTAAAGCCAAAAAATTCCTTCTTCTTGTAAGTTTTTTCACCCCTCTGTTGGAATATCATTAAGTCCAATAGTCTTTTCATACTTCATTTTCTTTAAAGCCTCTTTAACTTCGGTTTTACTTATACGCTGATAAAAATAAAAAAAATTATTTTCTTTTAGAGTGATAACGTCAATCATATTCTCATAATTTTCATTGAAGTTAAAATAATTTATTTAAAGACAAGCTTTGATTTAAATATATTACTCTTTATTTTCTTACCCGAAAAATCTGATTTTTTACCCAAGAACAAGGATAAAGCATGGCATTATTATAGTAAGTTAATGAAAAATAATAAAGTAACAAACTAATCCTATTTATTTATTTGATTGAGCAAGGGAGAATATTTTTCAATGAGATTGAATAAAAAGATGAAGATCTAACTTTTGAAATTAATAAATTTATTGAATGGTTAAAATTTTACAGGGATTTATGCATATCATTAAATTTTTATCTATTTACATATCTAACTTTAAATATTTATATTAGTTAATATTGCTCTCTAGTTTTTAAGCCACATCAAAATATTTATATGAAAATGTGTATTTCACTCAAACAAATTTATATTTGTAATTTTTCTATGTGATTTAGAGATTATGAAAGTAAATATAAAAATATAAGTGTTATACTTGTGAATATATAAGAATTCAGAGGTTTGCATGTAAATCCCCCAATTTTATATCAATGAAATCCGGAGCAACATTTTTAATAGTTGTATAGATTATCAAATGTTTCCCGTTTTTTCTTAATTATTGTTTCTTTACCCATTGTTGGCTCTAGGATCTTCCGGGAGCACTTGATGATGCTGCAATAACCGAGGCTTTAGAACTTCACAAGATAAAGAATCGTCAATGGGCCATCTTCAAAACCTCAGCCATCAAAGGAGAAGGGCTCTTTGAGGGTTTGGACTGGTATAGAACCGCCATTACAGTACTTCAATCTACTGATATGAACTTCTGCTGTCATAATTATTTTTCTTGTATCATTTCTTTGGGACCAACATCATTAGATCCATCCATTATACTTTTGAAATTGTCATAGGTTGATCTATAATGCACCAATATGAATATGGAGATATGAATATAGGATGCTTTTATTATTAAAAATATAGGATACAAACATATATTGAACACAATATTAAAAATAATAAAATATGATATTATGAAAAAGAGGCAATCTAACTAGTAAATGTTAAATGCATATATTAATTTTCTTTCAAAACTACAAATCTATTATTAGTCTTCAACTCTTTTGTAGTTCTATCTTTACCATCTTCGCGATTTCACTTAACCCACAACATGGATATATGTTACACACATCCTTTATGTATTTATTATTCTTCTAATTAGACTCGTCAATTATGTGTTTGATATATATCGGGATTAATTATTCTATGCGGACGCCGAACTCTATTCGGAGACCAACCAGAATGCTCCACGTCATCCCTTTGCTCGGTACCGCGGCTCGGTACCGCTGACATGACGCATTGTGATTGGTCTTCGGATTGCGTTCTGCATCTGCCTCCGAGCAGAATAATTTCTCTTGCGTTTCTTATGTAATGCATGCATGATAGAAGTAGATGTTATCTTTTTTGTATGGTTTGATGCAATAGAAGGGTGGGAACAGCGTTTAGTATCAAAATTATATAGCTTATATCTTATAGAATAACTGATGCATATCTTACTGATGCAGGCTGAGTAACACTCTCAAATCTGGAGGTAGTTAAAGGAAAGTGCCAGAAAATGTTCAGAAATACTGAAACGGTATTCTATATCTGGGAGTATCAACATTGGTGGATCTTGCACTAACTTTATCAAGTATGCCCTTTCACTTCATAAAAAGGCATAAATGAAGCCAACTCCTATTTGTTTTTATTCTTTTTCCTTAATACTTGTCTAAATGTAGATTGACCCAAGCAGTTGTGAGAAAGCTTTAATGGCTTTGATACTGATAGGCGCTTATCTGACTGTAAGGATCTATATATTTATATATTTTTATGTATTGGTTATGCAGTTCTGGAAGGAAAGTTTTAAGAAAATAACAGTACACATACCTCCAATGAGTTTCATGAAAAAATAATGTCATACAATTGCGTCGAATATAAGGGCATCTCCAACCGAAAAACTCAAATTTCACTTCAAATTGAATTAACTCATCTCCAACCAAATTCCATTTCGTAATACCAAAAAAGAATATTTTGGGTATACCAAGAAAATGACATTTGTGAATAGTGCGATGCCTGCACTGTTCACGTCGTGAGAATGGTGCAAGTTTTCGCATTCAAGTGTAGCAGCTTGCGGATAACAAATGCTGGTTTAGCATTCGGTTGGAGATGGCTCGGGTATAGTTATTTTGAGGGAAGTTCATTTTATGATATGTGATTTGTATAATTATTTGGCTATAGTTATGAAAATGAAATTAAATCATGTTTGAACTGGTAAGACGTTTAAAATGTGAAAAAGAGAAATTAAGCTTGCAGGATTTCATAGAGAAAACGTTGCTAGGTTCGTGGTTATATTTTTGTTGACTTCATGCATATATCTTGGCAGGCACTTTTTTTAATAGCTCTAAGCTTCTTTTTTTCTTGGTTGAAAGTGGAGATCTTAATTTGAAGGTGGCAGGTGAAGCAGTGCAGGAAAGTCATGGAAAGCAACAAGGGTGGCCATACTGGTTCTCGGCTTGGAGGTAGAGATAGCATGGCTTAAGCATATAAATGCTATAATGAACAGGTATGTTGAACCTCCTGATTCCTGACCCATGTAGAGATGGCAAGACCTGGAGTCAATGAATGAGGTGGAGTAAGAAAGTTGTAGAGGTGATTAAGAGTAGTAAAGATGACCAATCTTTTGGAGGCGGAGGCAATATAACTTGAGGATTAATTATTTTGTGCGGATGCCGAACGCCGTCTGGAGACCAACCAGAATGTACCACGTCACCCCTTGCTCAGTATTGTGGCTCGGTGCAGCTCAGTACCGCTCGATTAAGCTACGTGGCACATTCTGGTTGGTTTCCGGATGGGGTTTTGTGTCCGGCCTCCGCACAGAATAATTTCTCCAACTTGAGGGTGACAAGCATGGTGATTGAGATGACACATATGGAGTTAGAGATGACTAGGTAGGTTATAGAGGTGCTTGAGATTTGAGGGTAATTAGAATAATCATAGGGATGATACGTCTTCAAGGTGGCAGGTAGAGGTGTAAGTGAGTTGAGCTGATTTGCACTCGATTTGTGAACAAGTTCGCGAGCCAAATTTACCGAGCAATGAGTTCAAACTCAGATTATAGCTCATATATTATAAGAATTTGAGTTTGGTTCAACCGGGCTCATTGGCCCATCAAGTCACACGATTAATATTAACAAATTGGGTCTAAATCTGCTTAATAGCGGTTCTTGTCACACTTTCTTGATTCCAACTTTACTCATCTTTCGCCATTTGGTTGAGCCGTTTGGATTCCCTTCCAATAGATTGAGTTAGTTCAATTCTCGTCGTAATCCAAATTTTGTCGAGGCATTTTTTGACACAAATTATCACGAATCCCATCGAGTTTCGTGTATTTCCCTAATGTCTTCAGTCTCCCTAAATCGAGTATTCTTTTCTCATTTTCCAAACCCTAATTTATGCTCCCTTCACGCCTTCACTCCAATATTCGAGAGCCCAATCTTCAAGTTTTTAAGAGCGATGACGATCGATGAATTGACAACGACGAGGAAGAATTCTTCTCTAAGATACATGCTTCTTTTATTTATTTCTTTCTATTAGAGATTCCTAGCTATTTCCACCTAATATCATTCATATGAAATTGAACTAAAAAAAAACAAGAGTCAAGCTCGAGGTTTTAGATTGAGTTCGTGCATGTTGTGTCTTGGATTATTCGCAGCGATGGAGAAATATAAAATTTATTGTCTTAGCTTTGTGTGAAGATTTAACACAATTATATAAAAGAGAGGGTGTAGTGTTCATAAGAGATCAGAATTTTTATGTGAAAATCTAAAAAAAATGGGTTCAATCACAAGGCCTGACTCAATTTGAATGAATTCTTAGTGTTTGCAGTCGATTACAAATAAGGCACTTCCTTGAGGGGGGAATGCTTTGGCTTGATGTAATAAGTATACATTATATAGAGTGCATTACATGATGGGAATTAAAAGTATCAGTATTGATATGCTTATTTGTTCAACAGAACTATAGTCGACGGGCGACGAAGGTCGGAAACGTAATAGTCGGGTGACAGAGGTTAGAAGGATCGTAGTCTGGCGACGGAGGTCAGAAGGACCGTAGTCGGCGGGCGATAATAGTCAGAAAGATCGTTGTTGGTGATGGAGGTCAAAAGGACTGTAGTCTGGCGACAGAGGTCGGAAGGACCGTAGTCAGCGGCGATAGTGGTCACAAAGACCGTTGTTTAGTGAAGGAGGTTGGAAAGACCGTAATCTGACGATAAAGGATGGAAGGAATGAAGTCGGGGTCGAAAGTGGTCTGAAAGATCGTTGTTTGGTGACAGAGGTCAGAAACACCGCATTCCGACGACGGAGGTCGAAAGGACAGTAATCGGTGGGCAACAATCGTAAGAAAAATCGTTGTCTAGCGACGGAGGTTGGACGGACCATAGTAGGTGGGCGATAGTGGTAAAAAATACTATTGTCTGACGACAATGTAGGAAGGACCAAGGTTGTGAAAATCGAACCGGACAACGAATCGAAAGAAGAAGAGGTTCACAGTTCAATCGAACCGAAGTCGAACCACATGACGTAATAAATAATATATTATTATAAAAATTAATAAAATTAACATAATAATGAAATATAATAACCATATACTTTAATATAAATTATTGTCAATTTATATTAATTTAAACTATAAATATAAAGTATATAAAAAACTCACAATAAAAATTATTTATTTATAATATATAACTAAATATAAAATTTAAAATAGAAAAAAGAAAATATTATTAACTTAAAAAGTAAAATTTCAAAAAAAAAAAATCTAAAAAATGAATATTATTATATATAATATTTATATTTATGATTAAGTTATTATTTATTTAATATATTTAAAAAAAAATTGGACCGGCCAATTTTAGAAAATCGGGACCGATTCGTCGGTTCTCGATTGAACCGGCAGTTCAAGCCGGTTCTGCCCGGTTTGATGCACACCTGGTTTTTAAGGCTGAACTGGACCGGCCTTCAGACCAGTTCACGGTTGAACCGGCCGATCCGGTCCGGTTTTCAAAACGCGGGGAAGGACTGTAGTTGATGGGTTACTGAGGTTAGAAAGACCTTAGTCTGGCGACGAAGGTCGGAAGGACCGTAGCCGGCGGGCGAAAGTGGTTGGAAAGACCGTTGTCTGGCGACGGAGATCGGAAGGACCATTTAGAAAGACTGTTTTCTGGCGTAGTTAATACCATAGTCGGCGGGTGACAGAGGTTGGAAGGGTCGTAGTTAGTGGGTGACAAAGGTCAGAAGGACCGTAGTCGGCGGGTGACAGAGGTTGGAAAGATCGTTGTCTCACGATGGAGGTCGGAAGGATCGTAGTCGGTAGGAGATAGTGGTTCGAAAGACCGTTGTCTGGAGACGAATGTTGGAAGGACCTTAGTCGGTGGGCGAGAGTGGTTAAAAAATCATTGTCTGACGACGGAGGTCAGAAGGATCGCAGTTGACGGGTGACAGTGGTATGAAAGGTTGTTCTATGTCGACGGAGGTTAAAAGGACCATAGTCGACAGCCGACAGATATTAGAAGAATTGTAGTTGGCGCTAAGCTTCGTCGCCGGACGATAGTGCTTAGAAAGACCGTTGTTTGGCGATAGGAGTCCGGGGGGGAGTCCGATTATGGTTTGTGGCCTGGCGAAAATCTTGCGTTAGTCGGTGGTCGAGCAGAAATCCGACGTCAATCGGTAGCCGGGGGGAAGTTCGGCGTCAATCGGTGGCCGGGAGGAAGTTCGGCATCAACCGATGGCCGGGTAGATGTCCGACATCAGTCGATGGTTGGGAGAGTGTCTAGCGTCAGTCGGTGGCCTGGTAAAAGTCTGACGATAGTCCATCAATGGTCGGTGGTCCAACAGTAGTCGAGGATGAGTCTGGTGGCAAGAGAACTCTCTTTCTTCTCTTCATAGCTTCCCCTCTTATTCCTCTTCTTTTTTATGAGGAATGAGTCTTTTTTATGAGGAACGATTCGACTATAAGCATGTAACGTTTAGAATTCGTTTGGTATCCAATTTATAGTTTGAACCTTACAAATATGCTTTGGGTCTTTGATTTGGTCCCATTTGGGATCGAATTCAATCGAATTTGGTGTCGTTGGGTTCTTCTTTTCGATACATTCAATTTAACTATAAGTTTGCTAAAATGAGGGTTCGGATAGTCCTAGATTGAAATTTGGAAGTTTCCAACTTGATTTTGCTACTAAATTTGTGCCCAATCATGATTATTTATTGAGGATATATCATAGCATATTAGTCGAGCTCGAGTTTAACAATTTTCACTCAAGTTCAACCTAGTTATAAATTAAATGAGCTTAGCATGATTTAGCTATGACTTGAGCAAGTGAGGCAGCATAGAAAAGTTTGGGAAACTATTGAAGGCAATCAAAACAGCCCTCTTACACATAAAGATGACACAACCTGAAGATAACATATGAGGCCATACATGATGGTTGTGGAAGTCTCATACATATAATAAGATGACTTAGTTGGTCAACCCTAAAGGTGGATATAATATGGATGAAAATAACAAGAAATATGACAAACTTGGTCTACAACTTTTAAGTTGTCTTATTACTATCTTATAATATTAGGCTAGATCTCTATTATTTTCAAACATTGGCATACAAGTTATCATGATGCATTTAGTATTTAACTCAAGCAGATGTCTAAAGTAACTTCGTTTGGGATGGCTTTTTTACTGATTCTTAAAGAAATTTTCGAGTACAAAAATTTTAACTGCTGCAGTATAAAGTTGTTTTAAAAAGCAGTAAGAAAACCCTATCAAACGAAGCCTAAATACATAAATTCTATTATTGCTTCCACTTCCATATGTTAATTCATTTAATTTAAGCTTCATTTGAGATGATTTTTTTATTGTTTTCTAAAGCAGTTTTTTAGTACAAAATTTTGTTGAACTAAACATTTTATATGAAAAAATTGCTTTAGAAAACATTAAGAAAGCTGACCCAAATGAAACCTTAACTTTCTCTTTCACAAATTCTCAAATGAAATATTTTCTCTAAAACTCTTTCTACATAAGACAAAAATTTGATTCCACCCTTTTCATCATATTCCTATTAGGTAAGCCAAGGCATCTAAGAGCTTGAAGCCACTGTCCTGTGTTATTGAAATCCTCTTTGCTGAGGTTTGCACTCAAAATAAGGCTTCGTTTGGGATGATTTTCTTACTGCTTCTTAAAGCAACTTTATGAAATAATTTTATATTATAAAAAATTAAAAATAAAAAAAACTTTTGTGTTAAGAAATTATTTTATAAAACAGTAA